GCCCTGGCATTAAAGAGTTCTAGGAGGTCGTGTTTTCAGGCCACGCTACTTGTAGCGGGAGCTGGTGCTGCCCTTTCGATGCATGCTTTAGAAGCGCGCGCCCAAAGCGGTAGCGGGCTTTTGAAAACGATATGCTAAAACTACCCATTAGCAAACGCCAGATCCACGGGTAAATTGAATTGCTCCCTAAGAGCTCGCTACTCTATTAGCGGCGATATGTTTTAGTGGAGTCTTCCTATGGTTACCTTTCGTGACGTCATTACCTTGCGAACAACAAGTTCGATGGTGTTTGTAGGGAGCATGGTGGAAGCTTGAAATCATTGCGCTCTTAAAGCAACACTACCAACACCGTCGAAATTGAATTTCTTCCATTCTTCTCATTTCCGTCGATGAGAAAGCCTTAGCTGACAACATAGTAAGCATTCGGCCAATCGCAGAAGGCCGACTACAGCGACGCTTTCGATCGCGCACGTCGCCAATACCGGATGGCAATGTTGCGGAGGTAGACGTTTGCCTCAAGTCGGCTGGTTTCGCAGCAGACGACCATTGGCCAGCAGACAACAGCCGGCCCCTTGGCCTTCCAGAGCCAACCCGCGTCCAGCGTTTTTCAATCGAGTTGTCACGTGACATGACTCGCCGGAGTAACTCGGATCCATTTGGGTAAGATTTGGAACAGAGCCTTTGTGAAACGGGATAAAACCCCACAATCAATCGCTTCAACTTTTTTTTTTTTTTTTTACAAGTTCCGTTGCAGGGTCGCTTGAATACCCCACCACGTCCGTTCCAAAGGATGTCGTGGCCGCTTTCCCCCGCTGTGTATGCACTGGCACTACTCATTGAGCCTCATACTGAGTATGGATATCCACAGCGCATGCTCCAAAAAGACTCGTTTATTAATACACCCAGTCAGCTCGAAGTCATGCGGAACCTCGTAGAGCGTACGATGTCTACAATTGAAGGGCAAACACGCTCTCTCTAGCACCAAGTGCTGTTCCATATAGGTATTATATTATTGTCGTTAATTAGCAGGCATAATTAGCATAATTACAAATCACCAACAAAGCGATGCAGTCAGCCTCATTTCGTCGCCGTCCGCGTGTTCCTGCTCCAATTCCGCACCACCGTTCATTCAGCGATTTTTTTTTTTTTTTTTTTGTGGCAGCTCGTAAATAATTGCGCGTTTGCGACTTTATACATCGCGATATTAAATCCGATATATTTGAGTGTTCTAGAATAGAAGGACCCAACGCTTCGGGTCACCGAAACAGCATGGGGCGTCGCATTGAGCATGCGCAGAACGTGTACGTTCCCACAGTGCGACGCCCTAATCTTCTCGGGGGACCGAAAGCGCTGGGGCCCCCTATTCTAAAACTGCCCATTGTCTCACTTCACCCAAGAAATAAATAAATAAAAAAAAAAAAACTACTCGTCAGATAAATAACTTTCTTTGCGCGTGTGCATACGAGGTCGCAGTCAGATGCTTGGAGACTGACATCCCAAACGGGCCCGACCAGTGAACATTCCCCGGCCCAAACCCAGTTCCTTTAAAAAAATGTGGTGGAAGCCACTCTTCAAGGTCCAGCAACCGCGGGACACGCCCCCTCGTCCCCTCCATCCTCGCAGTCCTCCCGGCCGTCACACACGAGCTCGGGCGGGACGCAGTGCCAGCCGTGACACAGGTAACCCTTCCTCCCGTCCGCCCGCGGCGGCGGACACTCGTCCCGCGGACAGTCCACCTCGTCCCTCATGTCCCAACAGTCCGCCACCCCGTCGCAGCGCCGACTCAGCGGCAGACACGACGTGTTCAGCCCGCACCTAAAGGCCACGTCTTCGTCGCACGGACACCCGGTCTCGTCACTCATATCGTCGCAGTCGGCTACACCGTCGCAGCGGCCGCGCGCGTCCACGCACCGATCCGACGTGCACTCAAACTCAGCGTCCGCACACCTGGGAACACACACCAGCGACCCGCTGGTCCTCCCGGACGCGCGGCACTTGTAAGGACACCCGGGACACCCGGACGCGTGGGTGGCGGCTTGGCCGCGCCCGCCAGTACCACTATCATCATCATCATCCACGAGAATCCGACCGAAGCGCCGCGGCGCGTCGGTGTTGTTGGAGTCGGAGCCGGAGGCCCAATGTAGCGTGGTGAGGACGAGCGCTACGGCTAGGAAGGCCATGAACCCGAAGACGCCGTACGTCCAGAAGGGGGGGAACGCTTGCCGCGGAGGCCGTGGTTCTCGGCAGTTGGGGCAGGGGAGCCCCGGAAGCCTCGCCGGAGCCCAGGGCAGGGAGTCCTCGGGCGTCGAGTCGAGCAGAGGGTCGGGTGCCGAAGCCATCCGAGGATCACGTCGTCGTTGTCTGGCTGGAAGGCCAGCTGGCTAGCCTCCGCGAAGCGTCAACATCGTCGTCGTCGCCGTCGTTCATTATCAACGAGGCGAACAGATATTCTCCTAAACCACCCAAGGGCCAAGCAGCACGGTGCAAGCGTAGTTACACGCGCTAAACGTGCTGGCGTCTGCAGCAGTTAATTGTTCTAATGTTGAAACCTTAAAAATATTGCCATTTGGCACGTGCGCTCGTGAACACTTTATTTTAATTATTTGTTCCGAATATTTATATATATATATATATATATATATATATATATATATATATATTTTACATTCATAAAGCGAGCGCCTGTAGGCGGCGATATGTTTTAGTGGTTCCCAGAGCCGTTTATACTGAGAGAGTTTGGCCTTCTTAAGGAGATTTTGACAGTCTGACAACCACAGCAGCGTAGTCTGACAACCGGGGGATGACTACTTCCGTCCGCCATATTGTGGCTCTGACTCATAGGAACTCTACGCGATTTCTCAGGAATGAACAAGACAAAGAAGTAACGCCATATTGTGTTATCGCGAAATCCGCTTGTTCTAGCGGCCAACAAGCTCCGCCCATCGGACAAACTCTCTCAGTATAAACGGCTCTGGTGGTTCCTATCCGTCATGTCACGACCAGGGTTATTGATATTTACCGAAAATTTCGATGGTGTGTGCACAAAAACCGCGGTGGAAGCTGGCAGTAATCGCGTCCTTAACACCTGTCGAAGTTGACGGTCCGACGGCCGACATCCTTCTTTCCATTAATAAAAGTAGAATTCATCGTACTCAAGACGTCGTAGCGACCAACCCTCGAAGGCCGACCACGGCGACGCCTTTGGTCGCGCACGTCCCAAGAGTGCAAGCGCACCTTTGTTCCTAGCATTTGTAACGTACACTCGAGTGAATTGGGCGAAAGGTCTACTTGGCTGGAGATACGACAATCCGAGCCCCTTACTTTCGGAGGCGTCAACCTGTCCTGCGACCTAAAGCAACGCGTATCCAAGGTTCTTGATGCGACCCACGCAATAATGACATCACCTAACGCACGACGGCTATGCTGTATACGCCAGCCTATATCGCTTTGTACAGTACTATAGTACAGTAGGATGTCTTAATGCCTGTAAGTTAAAACGTGCAATTCCCGCGCGCAAGAAAAAAACAAAAAAAGCGAGTTTGACGAAGTGCAGCGTCCAGTCAGGCGATGACTCATGATGCTCCGAGTCTTGCAAGTGTCCAGTAGCGCAGAAAGGTGTCCAGCTTCGTCGACGAAATTGTTGTGAGGCGACGCCAACTGTCCTACGCAGTCACAGGTTGCACCGAGGCAGAGGGGTGCCCCAGGAAGTTCGGCGGAGGGTGCCCTCGAAGTAGTCGGCCCAAGGAGCTTCCTGAAAACTTGGCCCGTGGCCAACACTACCTAAATAACGAAGCCGTCGCGCTGAATCTTCTACGTGACTCGCCGAGGGCCAGCCTGGGTCAGATATTGAAACACGAGATCCCTGTTGGAGTTCGGTTCGAACTCGTGTTCTAACCGAACGAGTGCGAGCTCCAGCCGAACGCCGACTCAGCACTTGCCCCGCACTGGCCCTCGGACGGCGACTTAGAAAATTCGGCGCTACCAACTTCTATCAAGAAGATGTTCTTTAATTTATTTTTTTTTAGGGGGGGGGGGGGGGGGCTTTACAGATTTATGTAATATTAAAAGCAAAGAGAGATACCCTAATGCAGTCTGTGTAAGTGGGTTATACGGGCGGGGGCATAACATAACATAACGATAAGTAGGTTAATTAACTAAAATATGTTACTTCACTTTTTAAATTGTTTTAATGACTTTTATAAAATCAATTTTGAATACTTCCACTTCAGATTATTATTATTATTTTGTGAAAATAAACATATGGTTCTCATTAGAAACTTTCTAAGCGTTTTCAAAAACCACTAAATCAGTGATCTGTAGCAAGACTTTCAGCTCGTGCACGCCGGCACGTTAACGCACCTGTAGCCTGGCTCGTGCTGTAGGAGTGGCAACCTGAACCGCGCTTTTTTCGTGGACCAAGTATTTCTAAAATCGGCTAATGTAGTTTTCGATGACGCCTAGTAAGTTTCTCGCTGGAATCCTACGGCTATTTTCAGTAAATACAAATTTAATTCACATATTTTAGTTCATTAGTCGAACTATCGTGACGATATATTATGTCCCCGTGGCCACGTAACTCACCCGCACAAACAGCATTAGTGTAGCCTTTGCGGACTTTTTTTTTTTTTTTTTTTTTAACAAATTGGTAAAGCCCATGAAAAAAACGCCCTCTATAGCCACTGAAAGAATGAGAAGGGCAAGGAGCAATTTGTTTGTCTTTTTTGTTCCGCCTAGAGCGCAAATTACCTGCATTCAATAACGCTTCCGCGAATCCCCGATCTTCGAGGGCTCACACGTACCCGAAGGAAAATAAGAGAAAACGAGCAGCTGCTGGAGGCGGGCGCTTTAAAGGATATGCCCCGGCTGTTCTCATCTTCACAGTGACTATATAGGTGGTGCTCCCTACCCTTTACCCCCACCTCACCCCTTCCCTAACCCTCAAGAAAAAAAAAAAAAAACGCGAAAAGACTATTGAGGTTAAGGGCAATTCGTGGACTCACCCCCGGTAACGTCTTCATGTTGTGGAGGTCGTTCTGGGCATCCAGGGCGGACTTGCGGGTGTAGAACGTGACGAAGCAGCATCCTGAAAAGACAAAGATACCGGCTTAGATTAAAACATATTCTTCAACAACTTTAGCACATACACAAACAGGAAAGCAAAGAAAGTTCCAGAAAAAAAAACAAAAAACATTTGCATATTTTTTACGAGGGTGTGAAGTTTTCGACTGGGACGATCATCAACGGTGTGCAGTCGTCTATTACTACTATGTGACGCACCTTAAAAAACTTACGGTTAGCGTTGGAAATGCACTGACTAAATCTCTCGTCCACAGTGAACACCCGAAGCCCCAGTGGGGGCTGACTGACTTCCTGCTAAAAGACGCACATCACAAATTAAGATGGGAAGTAAGAACACAAGTTTAGGGCGCAAACGAGCTGGTGGTACAGTTGCACAAAGTAAAAACACACCGAAAAAGAAAGGACGGATAAACACAGGTCCCTTCGTTGTTCGTCCTTTATTTTTCCGCAGTCTCGGGGTGTCTTTACTACGTGAAGTATGGTGTCCCAACGTTTCGGTAAACAAGCAGAAACGAGCAAGCGTGCTGGAACATCGAGAATCGAAGTAGACGATATTGAGCTTGTCAGTGCTTCGAAAATAGCGAGAACGATCAATTACGATCCGGGTGCGCGAGCCCACGATTTTGGCGAATGAGCAAAATCACGCTACAAACTCACGCACGTCGAACAGGGCGCATGTCACGCTTCAATGTTCGTTCGAGTACCAAGAATTTCCGAAAAATGCAGTAGCTTCCTTAACTTCCACGCCAACCAAACCAAACCAAACAACAACAACAAACTTTTTTTTTTCTTTTTCTGAAAGTATTTGTGTATCGATCTATACGCCGAGCAACACATCAAGGGGGGTTAGAACTTGTAACAAACCACTCTATCTTACGCAGCGGACCGACGTGCAACCTTCCAGTCATAACTCTCCCTCTTTTTCTTCTTTGTTCCCTCGCCAGCCTCTATCCATTAGATACATGACTCATGAACGCCACAGATGGTCTAGCTTCCCACCATGCGACCCTCCAGCGTCCATTTACGCATTTTCAGCACGACAATCGAACGCGTGCCGCGTTCCATGTAGACGGTTGCGCCACGCCCAGTCCAGCGACAAACAGACCAATCGGAAGCTACCGTCGAAATCCATTTTAGGTAAACTTCGATCAGTCCGAGCCGAGCGACATGTCAACTTCGGTGCACGGATCACTTAACTCACCAACCTCACCCCCCCAAGCACAAACACAATGAAAACGTACGGGACACGAAGAACAAAACAAAAATAATAATAATAAAATACAACGCGGCGATCCGATTGACCCGAGTCATTTTGTAGCACCGTTTCGGGAAGCCAAAAGACCATTACGGAGCAGCAAAACGTACGTAGAGGGCACAAGCACACACTTAGTTTTTATTCATACCACTGTGAATATTATATGTTAAAATCGGTGTGTTAGCCTATCCAACTATAAAAAAAAAGAAGAAAAAGGGCATGTTTTGTACAAGGTTTGTTTTCCTTAAATCCAGAACTATAATGTTTAGTTACACAAAGGACTACGCATGGCAACAAGATGCTGATCGATGACGGACAGTATATGGACAGCCGTGAACGCTCATTTCAGGTACAATTTAAAATGCAAATTGTAAACCAAATAGTATATCCACTGAAATAATGTTAGAATAATCTTGAGCGCACAAACTTATGTTTCATTCAGGTTATAAAGGTTGTCATAAAACAAATTCTTAATTCAAATTTAAACAAAATCTTTTGTCACTAAATTATGGATATCGATTACATTTTGCACGTAGAACCTCATATTAACAGAGACCGGCATGTGAACTATAAATGCCTTCTTAAAGCAATCCAGGCAAAGTCGTTAATGTTATTCCAAAGCTTCCTCCCACAGCTTCGACTACGGTCATTTAGTTTTAATTTATCCTATTGACTGCACCTCGAACGCATAAAACACACACACACACACACATATATATATATATATATATATATATATATATATATATATATATATATATATATATATATATATATATATATATATATATATATATATATATATATGACAACTACACAACGGAGTTCAAACAAAAATAAACCTATAGAGGAGTTCATAAAAATTTTCCTGCGAGTACCCTCGCTAAATCTTGAATTAAAAAAAAAAAAAGATATCGCCAGAATACCGCAGTTTATCATAAATATTAGCCGTAGTGTAACTCAAACATTTTTACTGCAACTAAAAGCTGTTACATCGACACGCACAAAGTTTTTCTTCTATTCTTTTTTTTTTGATGAGGAATTATTTACCTTTAGCACTTAGATGCACTGCTATGAAGCAGGATAAGCACAATTGCGATGCTTATTACTTCGCGGTTGCAGTTTCACTGCAGCACAATAGAGCGTGATGAGAAGCACACTCAGCAAAGCCAACTTAAGGGGACACCGACATCCCCCAAAAGTTGTTTTTGTTATTTTTTTTGCCAGGCGGTTCATTATGGTGTCGATCAATATTGTGCTAGAGCGCTCGTAAATATTTTAATAAAAAAAAAAACAAAAAAAAAAACAAGTGCTTAAAACCGAAACGGAACTGGGGAGGGCGAAGATATGGAGGAGAACGCATGTTTAACGTGTTAAAAGCCACAAAAAAAAAAAAAAAAGAAAAAAAAAAAATGGGTATCTTATTTTTAGTTCCGAGTCTTGTTTAGTATTGATTGTGTCCCTTCGATGACAGATGACTCTGAATATCTTTGGAGGTTGTGTCTAAACCATAGGAAGACGGCTCGTGACCAAGGAAAAGAGAGTGAGAGCGCGACTCAAAACGGCCAGTTCTCTATCGGCGGTTTTAGGGTGGAAAAAAAACGAATTTCGATCCGCAAATTGTGTTCTGGATAGCTGCGTTCTCATACGACACGCACAAATAAAAACCTTGGCGAGCATAAATATTCTGTTAGTGTCCTTTTAAAAGACCAATGTGACATTGATTTCGGGCGAGGATTTTACTGAAGGGGCGAAAAATAGTAAGTTATTTGTGGCTAAAATCTAAAGTTCTGAGAATTCGCACAAGCCTACCGTTAGGATCCGGACGTGTAGCGGAGTCTGAGCAATTGTATCTTCAGCGAAATCAAGTTTTGGCGCAATGCTGGCGCAGGTTCCTCCCATTCGGGCTAAATGTAGCAGGATGTAGCAGGGTAACCCCTTTGGTGCAGTTTGCCACAAATGACTCGGCAATCACATCCCTGTACAAAGTTAAAGTTGCACAGCCTGCAAGCCTGCACAGTCCGTGCGATCGGCGCTCAAGCCCCTACCTTTTTGATTTTGTGCGACGCAAGCGAGGTTCCGTCTAGAGCTAGGACTTTGTGGCGGCCACACCTGAGTCCATAGGCACCATAAAAGCGAAGATCTTAACAATTAAAAAAAAAATGAACAGTTGTGGAGAAGCAGGTTAAACTAAATTTTTTAAAGAGTATCGGCCCTCCATTCCGCGGTTTTCTTGTGAGCGCCGCTTTTTTGGTGCTCCAAAACCCGAGCCTGCATTTAGTGCACGTAAACCGCAAAATAGGGTCGCATTACCAGCATATCCGAAATTTACGTATTATAAATGCTCTCATGTCAACATTTACCTTCTTGAACAAAACAAACAAAAAAAAAATGGTGCGGAACTTATTTTTGTTCTGATCTCGGTGCGTTTCTTCGGGTAGCTTTTCGCGCGTGTTCCGGCCTTTAGACGGAAGATAGACGGAACATCCAAAACCTCATAAACCAAACAAGAAAAAAAGGTTTTTTTGTTTTTTTTTCGACGTTAACTTATTATACGCGAAGCAAAAAGTTTGGAGGGACGTTGGAAGAGAATCGACCGGCTCGAGCGGTGAGAGACAAAAAAGCGAAACCACCTTCGACGTGAATCTGCCCGAGCGAGAGTAATTAAGGGTGGTTAACCGTGCGGAGCAAAGTGTACGTGAGCGTGCCGAGGCAGGGCACAAAAATCGCGCCAAACCCCACGCGCCCCGACCGAGTCACGTAAAGTTCGAACGTGATCCCCAAAAGCAGCAGCCCCAGCTCCTTCCCCCTCCCAGACCGATCGTTTTTGCACGCCCAAATTTCCACACCTCGTGTAAAAAAAAATTAACAAAAACAACTTTATTTTATTTTATTTTTTTTTTTTTTTTTTTAGAACGTAAGTAATTTTTAGCGTGTCTCGTTTCACTGGAGCATTTTGCGAGTACCTTGGAACAAGATTCACTTCATCAAAACTTGGGATAAAGACCGCCATTAATATCCATCATAACCAACGTTGCCGTGCTTCCTCTGATTGCAACTTGGGGAAACATCGCGAAGGCGACAGTCTCTGCGAGCCACTCAGAAGCGTCCGAGAAACACACGTGACGGTACTCTATTCCACCAGCTGAGAGCGCCGCTGTCGAAGCCAAGGGCTGGACAGAGTGAAAAGCCGCTTTTCTACAAATTTCGAGTGACTGCCCGATCTTCTAGGCTGACCAAAAGCGACATCTGGGACGCACCAAAGCAGGTTCGGGTAAGAGCCAAGTCCTCCTTCCCTTCTCCAATTGCTTAGGTCACTGTACGTCTTGTGAGGGCCATCACGTGCTTCGAGTCCGTCGCTCTGATTGGCTGAAGAGGGCCGCAGCTTTAGCTCTTTGCCAAGCTACTTCGAAACTAAGTATGGATCGACTCGGGTAGAGAACTGTCCACGAGACCCCCCCTCTCCCCCCCCAAGACCCACCTCCCGTCGATCAACGCGCCACCGTCTCCATAAGAGGACGACTAGCGGCCATGGTAACTACAGTTACACAGCTTTTGAAGCATAGTCTATACTCCGCGACAACTTTTCTTGGCAATGCAGTGGAAGGTACAGGCCCGCGTCCCCTCTCCCATTTTGAGTTTACGCAGGCTCTCCTCCTCCCCCATTTCCGGGGAGAGGATGAGTGACGGCGCACACTCAAAATGGGAGAGGGGACGCGGGCCGTACGTTCCACTGCATTGCCAAGAAA